ATATTATGAAAATAGAATATAAAAACAATCATGAATATGCTATTTGTGATAATCTAAAAGAGTTTTTTACCGAGTTTACTAAATATCGAAATTCAAAAAGCGAAATTGCTCGCAAAGAGGACAAAGACGGAGCATGAGGTTTTGTTGGTTATGATTGAGAAAACAATTTTTTCAAAGAAAATGGTTTTTGTAGATTATTCCGAGTAATTTTAAATTACGGAAAAGGAAAAACTAGTCAAGAGCCATGGTGGGAATTAGGGATAGATATTTCAAAACTCAAACTCAAAGCAGAAGATACTAATTCACCGGAAAGCGAATGATATTTNCTAGTNNATAAAGTTTATAAAACTCTNCAAGAAATNTGAGAAACTGGCGAAATGAAAAATACCCAANGTTTAGACTTAAATTGACCGGTAGCCAGTAAACAGGAAGATAAACCTGAACCGGAAAAAATTTCTGCTGATAAAACAGACAAAATGCCTTGATTAATAATTGGAATAGTGGTGCTGGTGATGGTTGTTTTATTTGGAGTTTGTTGGATTAAAAGGAGAAANAGAATTAAAAAATAAAGTCTCCTGAGAATTTACCTTTCAAATTTTTCAAAAAGTTTGTTTTTGCCTTTTCTTTTGCTTCTTACAATTAGAAAAAAGATAATTATTTCAANTCCTCCGGAAACTAAAAAAATAATCCGAGAATAGNGGTCTAAAAATGGTTCAACGGATTTTAAATTAGTTTTCAAACCAGTCTCTAACTTAGAANGATTAGAAGCCGTAGTAATCAGAATAAAATAAGATAAATCAATAAATCCTTCTTCTTCCATTGGCTTTCCGTCTCAATCCTTTATTTGATACTTTCTATATTTGTAATTTTGGGAAGGATNAAGGNCAAGAGAAAGTTCTTTTTTTAATTCANGNTTAGTAATTTGGTCAATATTTTTAAATAAAATAATCGGATGCTCTTTTATGAAGCCACTTCTAATAATTTGACTATTTCAATAATTTCAAATTTCCTCAATTCGCTGGGNNAGAAATTCCGGTTTNNCATTTGAGTGCTGACTAAAATCGATCACATCGGAGTGATGTTCTNTATCCCGAACTACTTGCCAACTTTCTTCGAAAGTGGTTCGTTTTTTGGTNAACTCATGGTTAAATTCTTCACTGGGAAATAAAAAAATCGGCGGGGCTCATTTTTTGCCTCATTTTCTAACTCACTCTCGTTTTTTCTCTTCAAATTTTTTGAAACTTAATGTCATCCTTGAATGAACTTTTTTTAAGTTTTCTTGGTAATTTTCTTTTTCCAAACCTTCTTTCTCTTTGTGAGCCTTTTTATANTCTTCTCTCCATTTAATTATCTCTTTTTCGAGGGCAATTTTTTCCTGGTTTTCCGGGGTTATTTCTTGTGAAANAGTGTTTTTTAAGGCTTTTTCTAATTTTTTTCACGACCTTGTTTCTTTCTCCTCTCCTCTTTCCATTCAACCTTCATTTTTGATATTTTCTTCTACTTTTTTCAGTTCCCGTGCTAAAATAGAGTAGGCTATTTCGCTCGGAGCAAAAATCGCTATCACTAAAACTACTAAAATAATAATTCCGGACACTATCCGCCAAGATTTTTTTTTTCAAAAAAGATAAAGGAGNGGCAACGAAATTATTCCGGCTAACCACCAAATTACTAGTTTCATATATTAGTTTTTTGGTAAAATAGGGAAATTGGCACGCCCGGGAGGATTCGAACCCCCGACCTTCTGATCCGAAGTCAGACCCTCTATCCACTGAGACTACGGGCGCAATTACTAATTAATATAATTTTACTTATAATCTGTATGATAATTGAAAATAATGATAAAATACATTATACTACTCTTTTATACAAAAATATTTCCGCTTTGCCACAGAGGATTTTGAACGAAANTATTTTCAGCCGGATTTAAAGCAAAAAAACTAAAATTATCTCATGTTTCTAAAAATTTGATTCTGAATTAAAAGGATATTTAAACGTATTCGCAGTATTCTTACGCTTTCGCGTTCTAATCCCAGTATTTCGGACAGTCAAGTTTCCATTGATATTGTGAATGATAAAATAAAATTACTTACCGGCACCAGCCGAAATTTAGTTAATTTAAAGGCTTATCAAAGATATTTCGATTTTTTGGAAGAATTAGGTTTAAGAGAAGAATTTCAGATTAATCTACGCCGAGAAAAGTTAACGCTGCAAGGAATTCGCTTTTACCCTATTTTGAAAAATGCCAACAATCAAAAAGTAATTATTTTTTGTCATGGTTTAACCAATAATCGCTGGTCGCTTTTCTATATCATGCATCTGGCTCTCCAACGGGGCTATCAGGTAGTTGCTTATGATGCTCGCAATCATGGTCTTTCTGATAAATCTTATACCAGTTTAGGACAAATGGAAGCCTTGGANCTTCAAGAAGTTATTGANTGNGTTAAAAAAAAATACCAAGTTGAAAAANTTGGTCTTTATGGCTTTTCGATGGGAGCCGCTACTTGCCTTTTTTGAATTAGTTATTTTGGGGNCGGAGGGAATTNGGNAGTNNCNTTTGNCATTTGNGANGCTCCTTTTGATGGGTTTTCGACCCAATGAGAACGAGCCTTAGGNACCGGAATAAACTATTACTGAAAAGAATTTTTAGCCACCAAACTAATTCAGGAAACCCTTCATACTACCCGCCCAAAATTAGAAAAAATAAATCCTTTAATAACTTTACCGCACCAATTACCAACTAAACTGCTATTATTACATGGNTTNGAGGATGCGGTGATTGATTGNCAAGCNTCTTTTCGGATTTACTATCAATTAAGCAAACATGAAAACAATCAGGGAAAGGTTAGCCTCTATCTTTGCCGGTCAGCGGACCATGGTGAAGTTCCTTTTATTGCGGACTATGTTCCGAATAGTTTACGCTGAAAAACTCGCCGGGGAAAATCCTCTTTCACTTTCAGCACCCTATTTTACGCTTATTTACAAAAAAATTTATAGAATAAAATTATTATAATATAAAACTAAACAGAACTTTTTTACCTAAACCTGTTCAGAAAAGGTCTAAGCAAACCCGCTAACACTATAGCATCTTGACCTTTAATAAAAGCCAAAGGACTTTCGTCCCTAGCACTAGTTTTCCCGTTCACTTATCTATATATTATATTTTAAGTTTTTTCGGTAGCATGTGAAAATGGAATGTAAACTTAAATATTTTTTGCTAATCCTAATTCAAAAAGGAAAAGTTTTCGACCCTTTCTTTCTTTTCAATACTCCTCTAAAGCCTCCCATAGTAATAAGTATTCCAAATCAATTAAGCAAAAATGAGAAAAAGTCTTTTTATTGATTAAGTTAAATCCATAAATTTGGGCGAACTTTTTAGAGATAAAGAACTTGGTATTTAAACTTAGATAAGAAAAGGTATTTAAACAAGAACATTTAATTGGTTCAAATTTAGCCCAAGAAACTTTCTCTTGGGTAGTGATAGTAAGAATTAGAAAAATTTCTTCTCTACTGACCGGATTAATCAACTCAATCACTAAATAAGGTCGCTTCTTGGCTAAATTTTGCCGAAACTCATAATAAACATCCCTTTTCTCTCCAATTGGTAAGTTTCGATAGATTACTAAATTAGCATTTATTTGTAGTTTAGTTATTCAACATTTCTTAAACTCATAATTATCTAGCATTTAAGGTTCATTGCTGTTAGCAAAGAACGCGAAAGCACTTTATAATAGTGCAATACTTCCTTATCATAAATAAAAGTATCCTTTCCTCCCTTTAGTTTTCTTTGACGAGCCTTTTGTCAAGCTAAATCTTCATGGGCTAACTCTCTTAATTCGCTATCGGTGTAATTAGTTTTAAGATAATGAAATACTTTGGTAATAAAGTCTTTTTGTTGTTTATCTAGTAAACTAGAAACATCCTTTACCTCTCAACATAGTTCTCGGAAACTGTGATAAACAAACGGCACCGCTCCTCCATGTTCAAAGGCTTTTATCTCATTGCGAAACAATGGAACTCCATAACAAGAATAATGGAGGGCTTGCATAATTTGTAAATGCTTATTTAAGCGAAAATTACCAATTACCGGATTAGATTTATAATTGTCTTCCTCATCAGTTATCAGCATTTTAGAATTAGCAAAGTATTCTCTTTGGGGGTCAAGGGATAAAAGATAACTGGTGATATTTAGAGCCGAAGTTGCTTGATGGGAATTAGATTGGCAGGACATAAAGAAGTATATTTTTTTAAAACTCTAACAGAATTTTATTATGTAAAGGTGGAATGTATAAAATAACTTTATATTATTACTATGGTAAATGCCCAAGAATGGTTGGATAGGGAGTATCCTAAAAGTGGATGATTCACAAAAAAAAGACATCAAATAACCGAGTTGAATATTAGTAGCCAAAATTTAGAGGGAGAGTTAGACCTTTCTGATTTTACTAATTTGGAAAAATTATATTGTTTTCATAACCAACTAACCTCTTTAAATATTAGTAATTGCTCTAATTTAAAGGAAATTTGGTGTAGCAATAATTCCCTAATCAATCTTACTTTACCTACTAATCTTAGTAATTTAAAAGAATTAGATTTAAGAAATAATAACTTTCACCAAAACTTATCTTTTTTAAAAGGAGTAGTTAGTTTAAAAACACTTTGATTAGAAAACAACAAATTCCTTGGCTCTTTAGAGTTTTTAAAAGAACTAAAGAAATTAAGAAGACTTGATGCTAACGATACTGATATAGATAGTGGTTTAGAATATTTACCGGAGAGCGTTGAAGATTTTTATTGTTCAACCTGAAAAAGAAAAGATTCTAAGTGCCAAAACATTTATAATCTATTTGCTAATGAAGAAGGAGTTGTGGAATTAAAATATGGATACATAGAAAACTTCCCTCAAAAATTAAAAGTTTATAAAGAATGAAGAAAACTTGGTTTTAGTGAAAAAGAAATAAGAGAATGAGTAAATTCTGGTTTTCAATTAAGTGATTATGGTTATACTCAAGAATGAAAAAGTTACAATTTTACTGACCAGCAAGCCCGACAATGACTACAAATTGGTTTCAAACCAAAAGATGCTAAGTATGCAAAACAATGAAGAGAAAAAAAATTTACTGTTGAAGAAATTAAAAACTGAATAAATTTTGGTGCTAAATTAGATGACTATGGATTTATGACTTGATTAAGAGACACTAAAAATTACACTCCGGAATGAATTATTAATAACTATAAAGAAAGTTACCAAATTATCAGAGAAAAATACAATAGCCTGTGTCAAGAATGTTTAAAATTAAAAGAAAGTGAACAATTATGTGAAGTTTGTAATTTAGAATACTTAAGAATTGATGAATCTATTCAAAAACAAAAGATAGCAACTATAGACAATGACAAACTGTTGAAGTGAATTCCTTATGAGCAATTTGAGAATCCCGAATATCTTTCCGAAGGGGGGTTTGGTAAGGTCTACAAGGCTAGATGAAAAAGCGGTGATAATTGACAAAAAGAGTTAGTTGCTCTAAAAATTTTAAATGACTCCCAAAATATAACTTCTAAACTTTTACAAGAAGCCATTCTCCTTAAAACAATTAAAAATAGTAGCAATATAGTTCCTTGCCATGGAATCTCTCAAGATCCTGAAACTAAGAATTATATAATAGTCATGAAATATGTGGAGGGGGGAAACCTCAGACAATATTTGCAAAAGAATTACAGCAAACTGGAGTTTAAAGAAAAAATCGACCAGTTACATCGAATTGCTTCAGGATTAAATTCAATCCATGAGCAAAATTGGGTGCATCGAGATTTTCACTCGGGAAATATTTTGAGTAGAAAAGACCTTTCTAATAATTTTTTGTGTTATGTTACTGATTTAGGCTTATGCCGAACTACTAATGAAACAGATCAAGATAAAGTTTATGGAGTTCTTCCTTATATAACTCCAGAAGTTTTACGAGAAAAACCTTATGAAAAAGCCTCAGATATTTATTCTTTTGGTATAATTGCTTATGAATTATTGGCTAACTCTTATCCTTATGCTGAATACCAAGGATTAGATGATTTAGGCTTAGCCTTACAAATTTGCCAAGGATTAAGACCTGATATTGATAAAATTCCTCTACCTCAACTACTTAAAGACTTGATTAAAAAATGTTGAGATGCTAAACCTGAGAAAAGACCTAATGGTCGGGAATTATATCGAACTATTAGAGGTTGGTATTATGAAATTATTAATGATTTGGACGAAGAAACTCAATTTTACTACCAATATCAAGACCTAGAAGAAGAATACAATGCTTTCTCCCAAAATACTCCTTATAGAATGCATCCTACTACCACTACTACTAGCAGAATGATAGATACTAATAAAATAAACAGATTGTTAAGTGAAGATTTAGAAATTTGTCGGATTACTGATACTATAAAATCAAATCAAGAGCAAAATGATTGAGCCAACATTCATCCTAATTTCACCGAAAAACTAACCCAATCTTGAACCAACTTAAACTTTACTTACCAACAAACCCAAGACTGAATAAATATTGGATTACAGCCTACTGATTATAACTTCGCCCAGTGATTAAGAGATGAATTAAAAACTACTCCTATTGAATTCTTAAATGATAGCAGTCGAATAGAGGATTTAAGAGAACAGTTTAAAGAGTATCAACAATTCCAAAATAGTATAGAACAACCCCCTAAATAATATGAACTACATTTTAGCAAAAAAAAAAAAAAAAACANAAAGATAATCTATTGAGTTTTAGTAAAAAGGCAATAAATA